AGGGGCATAATTTACTAATACTAAGTAATCTTTACTTAGTATTAGTACATTTGGCTGAAATACCAATTTGGGTCTTTCAGCCTTTTAGTAGATAGCTCCCTAATACCGTGGGAATTAGGGAGTTATCTACTTATTCATTCCTGTCATTACACTGACTGGCTAAGTAACTAACATTTTATATGAATGTATGTTACTTGATTGTTGTAAGTGTTGCAAATGCTTACAGCTGAATCCTGGCTATGTTTGTATACTTTTTATTTACAATTGTATACAATGTAGCATTCTCCTTCTTTCACTGGGTAAGTATATTAGTACTTAGGCAATGCTGTGCTTCGGAACTTCAGCACTTCGGCACTTTGACACTTCGGAAATTCGGAAGTACCCGAATGTCCGAATTGCCTGAAATTCGTCAGAATTCATATTCGGACCGAAACGAATTGCACATGTCTACAGTTAATTATATTTAGTATGTTGTACCACAGTACAACAGAAAACCTTTTTAGAACACCTTGGTGTTTGCCCTTTATATTGGATTCAATATTGTATCCTTGTTCTCTCATATCACCAAATGAAATCTTAAGTTTTCGAGTTCAGTCAAAATTGCCTTAGTCACTTCAGTTGAACTTTGGATTTGAATAAAACCTACAAATCTTTATTCTACACAGTTCTCGGGTTTGGCGGTAGGAGACTCCCTTTTTTGATGGACACAAATCAATCAATTAGGGTCATTTGTTCAATTAGAGTTGACTGAAGAATGTGTTTTGTTATTTATTTTGCTATAAGACTGATGAGTTTGTTTTAAATGTTGAAAAATGTCCTTATTTTTTTATTCTTTTCAGATGTTCCTACATAATGGTGTCAAATGTGGTCAGCATTTTTACAAGTTGCAGATAATTCCCATTATTTTTACTGTATAATGTATCTCTGCTACCTCGGGAAAGCCAAGCAATGGCAACCAAGATATTTTACTACACCTAAATCTTGCCAAAGTTGTGTTTCAGTTGCCAAGTATCTCTGGGAAGCAGCATCTGTTGTTTTTTTCAGAATACAATCTTCTTGATAGTTCATTCCAGTCTCTTGTAGAAACAAGATTAGATTTAGACATTTCATGAATTGAAAGATTTTGAGACAAGTTTTTCCAATCATTAAACCCCCACCAATAAACCAGAACGTTTCTAAAGGTTTCTTCTCCATTTGCCAGCCATCGCTTGTAATTTGTTTTAGAAAAATGTCTATTCGCTACATCTTCGTGAAAAAATGTTTTTTGCTTCACAGGACCTTTACTGACAATAGCCTCCCTTAATGAGATGGCTAAATAGCTCGAAAATCAGCTGGATCAGAGAAGAAAATGTACTGCTGCTCCAGTTCCTCTCCTTCTTCTTCTTCTGCTTTGTCTTCTTCTTCATTTGATCCTTCTGGATCTTAATCTTTTCAAGGTAGAGAGCATCTGTTGATGATGTGAAAGGTTGCTCATTATCTTATTGTTCTTGTTTTTATAATGCTGATGCTGAAGATGCATCAATATCTGTTTGTACAGCAACACTTGCAACATTGATAACTGGTTTTGATGCAGGAGAATCTTGCTTTCTCATTTCTGCTCATCTTTATTTTTAAACTCATCCTGATGATTCTTCAAATTCTTATCCTTCTCCATAGCAGCTAAGACAAGATAGACTGGTCCAAACAGTTCTTTCCTTCCATTGTGTTCCTCTCAGACTATCTGCTTTGCTTCTCCACCAACTTAATGGTTCCTCTAACCCTCTTGTAAATATATGTACATGGTTGGAGTTGACAGACTATTTCAGCAGGGGAAGCTATTAAGATATTGATATAAACATTATATCTATGTCTTATTTCTTGAGCAGGTACACCATACAGTGATTTACTTTGGATGCAGCACCAGGCACTGTAATTGCACTAGTCTGGGGGCAGTGTTCTATTGAGCGGTTCTCCTGCTTTCACCTATCACTGCTGATTGGCACTGGGTTCTGCTGAGACGTCCTAGGCAAATATTTGACAAGTGTGTGTTATAAAGAGAATATTTGACAGGTATTCATTTCAAATCTATAATTTATTAGCTCTTTGGTAGAATTTAAAACCCTTTAAAAAATGGTTATAAATTATTGTGTCTGAACACTCACCCTGTCACACCAATGAATGCCATAATTTTACACCTTCCTACAATGGCATCCTAGAGTGATTACAACATGTCTGGAGGGACCATAATGCTTCATTATAGGAACACTCAAAGCACAATAAACACTACAGCTACCTTAAAGCATTTGACTCTTTCTGCTGAATGACTTCTCAATGAACTATGCATGTCTGATACAAAACTGCATTCAGTAGCTGACAGCAGTGGCATCTCAGGATTCATATTTAGGGGGTGTGATCCTTGTCTGCAGGTAGCACGGTCCTCTAGGGTAAACAACAGGCACAGTCCTTTGGTTTGCATATAATCCAGGCAGTTTTATTGTCAAACTCCACCACAGCTACAGCAGCAAATGAAAACAAAAATGTAACAAAATCCTATAAACAAAAACCTAGCTCGGTCTGAGCACTAACTTACATCATGATCCCTCTCTCTCAAGGGTTTAATCTATAACAAAACAAGAAGTGGTTAAACCAACCTAGTGTCTTTTTCAGCTCTCAGCACTCCAGTGTTTTTGACAGCCTGCTACTTCCCTTTCTACACTCCCAGTGCTGCAAGCCAGCCTTGACTGCTTTCCTTGTGCACTCCCAGTGCTCCAAGCCAGCCTTGACTGCTTTCCTTTTGCACTCCCAGTGCTCAGTCTCCTTGACTTTCTTACTGGAGAGAACAGCCTCACTCCTACCTGCTTCCAGGGAGGAAGCCAGCAATCCCTCCTTTACCTTTATAGCAGGGAGGGGTTTATTCCCACTGCTGCAGCTGATTACCTGCAACTGAGCAGTGGGTTGGAGACAGTCCAAAAATCCCTGGCCTGGATCTATGTCTCCCAAGAAAACCGCTAAACTGCGGAGTAGAGCATTGGCCCACCCTGCTCTCCAAATGCTCCACCCCAGGGGCCCCTAACTAAATGTTGGTTTGTGTTGCCTACAACACATACTACACATACTCCCCCTGTGGTTAAATGTTATAGGCCTATCTGCCTTCACTTTATCACAGGGGGAACATGAAAAAGTGTGTAAATATAGGGGCACATAGCAGTATAAGGAGTAAAGACTAAGTATAAGCATAGGATAGTATAAAAGAGCACCTGGGATTTGTCAGTCCTTTGCTAAGCCGCAAAGGAAACATTGAAGCTGGCCGCATGGAGGTGGCACTTGAGGGAGCAGGTAGGGGCCCCGAAGGACCACCCACCTCTTGGCACTGCCAGTAGTCTGGAGGGCCCATCAGGCAAGTGGGAATCAGTGGTAGAACTGACAGCACTGCTGCTGCAGCTTGTGAAGGGTGACTCAGTGTTCCTAGCTTCAATTCCATTTGGGAAAGGGGGTAAGGGGGGCACTGCATGATGTGGGGGGGGGGCATGGCCCCCCTTTCTCCTCGATAGTGATGCCCCTGGCTGACAGTACTCAAGACAAAGAATGCAGTTCTGCAAAAACCTGCTTAGCTTAGTGCTACTAACCAAATTCTCCTGCAAGAGCAGTAGAACCCTAAGTGATGCACTACTTCCTAACATGTTTAATGTTAAATTAAATTATAGACACAAACATACAAAATTAAGTCCTGCGCTCAAATTCTCACGTCTTGTGGGTGGCAGTAATGACTATGGTACAAATCAGCCCAAGTACATTCAAAAAAAAATGTGACTTGTATATTATACCAAATCTCTGTGTACATCTAAAATAATTGTAATTGGCAGATGAGCGTACAATTCACTGACCACTGGAGTGATACTAAAAAACCTTGAGTAATTTAAATGTACATGGGGATTTGGGATAGTGCCAGTAACTTTTTTTTTTATTGTAAATTACAGACATTTACTGGATATTTAACAGTGAAATTAATAGCTGGGTATAATAAACATAACATTAAACAACCTGCCTACCCTGAGAATGTGGTTAGAGGATAAAATATTACAGTGAACGATTGACACAGAGTTACCAGCGCGACAATGGATTAGGTGAATAGAGTGACAACAAGTCTAAAGAGACATGGGATTAGATGAATAGAGGGACACAACAGAACTAGAAGATAATGGTGGGATTGAATGACACAACAAGGCTAAGAGAGACATGGGATTAAAGCGGCACTGTCACCCACCCCCAACCCCCTCTTAAAAATATGTATATTATAAAGAGAGAATCTTTATGAAAGAAGTGACATTGAAGCAGACCAAACATGACGGCTGTGCCCATGAGGGACAGGTTCAGGTGAGTAAATCTCACACTTACTTGCCTACCCCCAGCCACTGGACCAGCGGCAATATAACCATCTGGTTCTTTTGCAAATTCGGCAAAGTCTTTAAGCACCCCTTTAAGCGGATAGAGTTAACCAGGGCTAGGGGGACAGAGGAACCAAGTGAAACAGGGATTGTGGGACACAGTGACAAAGGGTAAGAGATGGGAGTCAGAGGGACAAAAGGTTAAGGTAACAGAGTGACAGAGAGTAGGAGCCTGTATCCCACTGTCACTCTGACCCCTTATTGACCAGACTGGTACTGGGTCAAGAGTATATTTGAATGTTTTAAAACGTACCCCCTTGCTGCAAGTGCTTCCAAGTCAGGTGGCTTAAGCTTTGGAGCATGCAGGGCGTGGAGAGGCAGGCTGTCAAGGGAGTAAGGGAGGCTCTTCAATATATTGCCTGTCTAGCTCTCAAAGGCTAGGGAGAGCAAAATAGGACAGCAGAGTGGACTTCAACTGCAAAACAAAATTAATCCAGGACATGCCTGAAGAGCTGTTCTAGAACCTGGGTAATATAGAGACAGGGGGCAGCAGAAGTCAGGCACCCTGAGCTATCATATTATATCATAGCATAGGGGCAGCTATCTCCATTGTCATGCTGGTGCTGGTCTGGGAGCATGGACTCTCTTGAGGAGCTGGAGGAGTCCCGAACCTGTGTGGAGAAGGTGGCAGAATTTATGCCAGTACCCTTCTCTTCTTATAGAGCAGCTCATTGCCCCATTCACAGGATCCACCGCACCAGCACTGCCATGCTGGAGCCTACAGAGGGAGGCCAGCCAAATCAGCATCAAGACAACAGGGTAATCTATGGAAAGTTGAAGTTGGGCCCTCCTCCTTACACCTCTGTTCTGAGTAGTCAGGGAGTCTGGATAGCGAGGTAGGCTGCAGCTATTCAACAATTTGCAGCTATTAAACAATTTGAGCCAAATTTTGCACACCCCCCTCCCCCGCCCTTGCGCGATAAGGCAGCCTTAAGGACACTCCAGCCCTGGCAATAAACTAGTGTTCAACTAAATAAAGCTTTGTAGACATATGTATTTCTGATATTTTTAGACTAAAATAGGTTAGTTAATAATAATAATATTGGAAATATATTGGCTTCAATGATAAAGTATTTTTCTGCAGTGCCTGCAATTCTGCAGTTGCAGTGCAGTGATAGTAATTACAGATATTGGTAATAGTTAAATGCTATTTGATTTTAATTCCTATTCAAATAAACCCAATATTATTTAACTAGCTCAACACATTGAAGAATATCTAGGTATGATATTCTGCTTTTTCTGTCAGAGTTAGGCAAGAAATGGTTAGATATCTGATGAACAGTCAAGGAAAGAGCTATAGATTGTATGCAAATAATTTCCCTGATAGATTCCCTGTCGAATAGTAAAAGTTCATTAATCAGAGTTAAGTGACCTTAGACTCCAAATGTTCGTTTTCTCAAATCATTAACATCCTTCTTTGATAATAGTTTAAACAATAGAGCATTAATGACAATATTTTTCTTTTTGTGTGTTTTACTTGCAATCTGAAAACTTCCACTATTTGTTTTTTTTATTTTATTGTGTAATTTAAACAGTTCAAGCTGTTAAATTAACAGTATTTTTTTCATTTTTATCTTTGGTGAACATGTTTTTTCTATCTCTAAAAGAGATAATTTCCTTAAAATATCAATTTATCTAGCTAAATTTAGAAATAAAATCTGTATGTTGAGCTAAAATCACAAGCAGATATTAATTACTACAATCAGATGGTGTAATATTAAATTATACCTCTATGGGATTTCCTTCCAGATGGTTGAGTAACCTAAGGGAGATAAGTAGGAATCATTAAAAGATCTACCAAATCAATTAATACAATTACCAACTGCAAATGAAAGACTTAGAACCCAAACTTACCAAAACATTCACACTACTGTCTGTTTAATGATTATACAGTATCTTACATAAAAAACTGCTTGCCAGCCACAAGTTGATGTTTATGTTTTACATTCTTTCTGATAATTTAAATCCGTAAACATTTGATCAAAATATCGATTTAAATTATAACATTTTTTAAATATCTATCACATCACAGGGTCCAGTGTTATATGCATTATGCATGTATTATGTGTTTCTATTCTCTTACATGTGTGCAGCTTGACTATATTGACCTAATTTTAAGACACACAGTTAAATTGTAATATTTATATGTATGTTCCATGTTTTATGTTAAAGAATATTTGTAGTCATTTAGAATATGTAATATATGCTTTACAGCAAAGAAGCAACTAAAGTACATTTTATGTAGATGCTGATATATTTCCTTATAGTAACTGAATCTCAGTGGATCTACTCAAGCTTTTGTCTTTCCAAGGACGATGAAAAGCTTACAAAATCTATTGAGTTACAGTAATATTTTGTGGCGTATGGTGTGCCGCAAAGTATTGCTATGCCTCGACAAAGTTGAAGTATGAATTAAAAGCAAAGATTTTAAAGTAATTATTTCACATTATCTTTTGAAACCACTTTTTAAAAATATACTTAAGAGAAAATGGGTAACATAAAAATATGTTAAAACATGTTTTGGTGCCTCAAATTCATAACCACTCAGGGATAATGAGGACTGTTGCATGTTTCAATGACTTCTTACATACAGATGGTTTTGGCATCAGGTAAGTCAAATCAACTGTATAAACATATATATATATATATATATATATATATATATATATATATATATGTAAGACTTGCTTTTCCCACAGAAATATATATTAACAAGGTTATTCATAAAAGATGAATGGCCCGGTACCAAATGGCGCACAAAATATTGTGTTGTATTAATCTATTTAGCAATATCTGCATTTTTCGAACCAGGCTCTCAATGAGCCTGCAGTTGGTTTTGATTTTATCGAGCCTTTTTTCTGGACACCTGAAATCCAGACCCAGATTGTTAAAATCTAAGCCTTCTGAGCCCATATTTTAGAAATCCAAAGTATTTTCCCACTGACAGTGCTGCCATTGGCAAATAGTAATAAAAAAATGTGTTATATGTGAAGGGTTCTTTGAGGGATCCCCTTTTAAAGGTTGCTGCCTTTCTTGTTTCTTAGTGCTTACTCTCTGTTTTTGATTTCATTGGCAAATAGTACTTGAAATTATTATTCATTTGCAAAAAAAAAAAAATACATCTGGATGTATTCAATGCCAGTTTAGTTTAAAATTGGCCCTTTGTATATATTCTGAATTCTATTCTTTGTATTGGGTTAGGGTGTGATAAGCACATATTTTAAACCAAACACCAAATGCTTCTAAAAAATGACACAGATTTGGTGAGATTGACTAAATTCTGGCAGGAACAGGTGTTAGTAAATATGAAAAATGTCCCTGTGGTTAGATTAAAATTCAGGCATTTCCATTTGGACACAATCCAGTATTTAGTGAATACCCTTGTAAATTGCTGTGGACTTTAATACCCAAGCTAAAAGCTCTCACATGAATTATAGTTGACATCCAAGTGAGTACTTAGGAAGCCTGGTAACCTTTTTGACGTTGTCCTTAATTATCAGATTGGTTCCTCTTTCCTCTATGTCCTCCTCCTTTGTTCTTTAGAACTGTGAAACACATGCTGAAAGTAAGTTTCAAACAATTCCATCGAGGGAAGGTAGAAGGAATGCAGCTTAAAACAATGTACATAGAGTTAGCAGGCTCAACAATGAACGATGAACAACATGAACCCATTTTTACTTTACTGCAGTGCTTTATAACTTTTACATTTGGGATATTAGAGCAGGTGTTCTCAATAACAAGAAATTAATCAAAGCCCTATTTAAACAGGAATTTAAGCTAAAGTAAGCTCTTAATGTTTAAGTGTCAAAAATGCCAACATGTAATGACGAAGAGCTGATACCAAAGAAAATTTGGTGGAAAACCACCAAAAATGAAGACCAAGATAAAAAATACTGGAACTTTCATCCTGCAATATTCTTACAAACTCCAAATGTATGAATTTGGTAGCATTTTACAACTTTACACTCCCCCTTGCAACGATCCCTGCTGAAAGTTGCAAACGTTTGTCTTGTGCTATGATTTCTGAGAGCCAGTATTTTTTTTGTTTATGTAAGTGACTATTTATTATTTTAATGTCTAAATTCTTTGTCATGTAATTACTGCAATAAATATCCCAAACATGTTATGCTCCTAAGGCTTGGCAACCAAGTTTTATTTCACCTGTCACTGTCACTCTTCCTGGTAAATTCACAAATATGTCACATAAACAATTACTTTTTCTCTACTCACGGTTCCCTCATGCAATGGATTTTATGTTTTCTTCTTTTGCTTTTTACATAATACATACACATGGCTGAACTTTAGATACTTTCCATAAATTCAAATTTTCATAACAGATCTGAAAATCCCCTTGCGTTGATTCCTTCAATCAATCTAAAACAAAAGTACATTTTAATTCAAGGGTACCATGGGACCCACTACTCTACAAGGCTTTTAGTTTTGGAAACTCAATCCATTCCACAAAACCTTATGACCTGAATTCAGTTTAGGATACTTTTATAATATATTTATTTTCTAGAAAATTCTTAAAATCTAATGACACGTTATGCTGCCTGAAATGATGATGCTAGACATTTATTTTCATTCTAAATGTATAATTTAAATACAGATTATTTGGGATTTGCATTTATACTGGTCTTGGTATAGCTCTTAGATATTAATAAACCTTAGGATCATAAATGAATCCCTTATGATCTACTCTTTCTCAAATTGTTAAAATCTGTTTTCTCAAATATTGACTGTGAATGCGAAGATTAGTCTGGAATGCTTTTTGATACTACAGTTAAACCTAGTTATAGTCCTACTCTGTGTATATTACATTTAATATTTAATTTGTTATCATTGTCTGTTGTCTTTCATCCCTATGTTTTCTCTCCCCTTATAAATATTTATATTTCTAAATTATTAACAACTATATATATTTTCTGTCTGTATCCATTTGAAACATGTATCTTTAATTCCCATTTATTTTAGACAGGATTTTCTTTAAACTTCTTTAAATAGTAAGCTTCTTCATTTTTTATTTGAAAGGCATTGAATGTAGCTTTCTCATATGAAACCAACATTTCAAAGAATATCTCAAACTAAAATCAGATTTATAAATATGAAAGGTTCTTTGAATATTTCAAATCCAATCATTTTCAAATTTACTACAGCTCACCTAATGATTTAAGAGTTACTCTCAGCTAAAACATAAGAATTAATATAATATGCTTTGGATGTTTTTATGTATATATTAAAAAAAGCATTTGTGGCAAACAGTTGGGTATATACTATATAATCGAGATGGGCTATTTGTGGCCTATGTATATTTTAAATTATAGACATATATCATGAAGACAGTAATTAAATAGACCATTCCCTCTAGGAATAGATAAAGTGAAATCTATAATCCTTAATTTCACAGAAGAAATGGAATTGGTAGATTTACTTTAATAGGTAAATGTATAAACTTCAAACTGTGCTACATTCAATCAACATTTCAATTCCTACACATTACATTCTCTAGTGTATGTATATGTGTATATATATATATATATATATATATATATATGTATATGGTTTCTGTATGTTTCAGCAATAAAGGAATACTCCCATAGCTTTAGTCTATTAGTCTCTTTGTGTAGCAGTCCAGTGCACAAGCAGTGGAGACAGCTATGAATTCCTCCAAAGGTAAATGCAAAACTTGAACTTAGCACTCAACGTCTCCACAGTTATCAATGTTTGCTTGGGCGCTGTAACTCTGCCAATAAGTATATGGATAGAAATAAGTGCACTCACATGCCTTGTGCTTTGTTAATGCTTCATTGTGAAACAGATAGATGCAAATTACAGC